TGAAGCTGAGCTCCTTATTACTTCCTCATCCTAAAAAACAAATTACTAGGACTGTAATATCCATGTTTTCTAGAGATGAGGTGCTTTTCTCATAAGCCTTTGCTCTAAGAAGCCTAGCGTGATCTGTGGCATGCTTACAGGATGTAAGAGCACCTTATTTTTAATATTCTATATTCTGCAAAATACCTTCACATCCTTTAGCTTACTTGGGCATAGGAAAAGGATATGTTATGTCAGTTGTACAGATGAGTAAACTGAAGCTCAGAGAGGTTAAATGGCTTGAACAGAGTGGTCATAGAGTGAGTCGTTAGCAGATTGATTCAAACTCGATGTTCTTCCCACCGGGCTCCCATCAGACTCAATCCGAGGAGGCTGAGGAGCTGTTGGCCTTGGAATCCCTGCCTCCTGAGCATGCAGCAGATTGAAACCCACTTTTAGGAGGTCCTACCCAGGGGTCAAAGCTAGAGGCAGGTGAGAATTTCAAAAATTCAGGGGAAGGCTAGGGTTGCTGGCAAATCAAGGGTACAGTGAGAGGTAGTTAGCACTGAGGGAGACTTAAGAGGGCCTAAGTCGGCTACATGTGGCTGCCAAAACTTTTCCAAAACACCCATGAGGACCAAGCATGTTTAACTGGCAGTTAGCAGCAGCGGTACTTGACCTAGAATTAGATCCGACTTCTGTGAGAGGAATTCTAAGAACATCAGAGATAGCCAAGAGTGGCCTGGCTGGGATTCTTATTCCCAGGTCTGAACACATAATTTGAGGAAGCACGGTAACTCCAAAGCCAATGCTCTTTCACACTGGCTCTCTGGAGTCTCTTCCCAATCTTGATTTCTGTGACATCTCAAGGCACAGCAGCCAAGGCCCGGACTCTGCAATCATACTGCCTAGGTTCAAAGCCCAGCTCTGCCATTTACTAGATATGTGACCTTGGGAAAGCCACTTAACCTGTGTTTCAGGCCCCATGTTATAAAATGGGGATAATATGGGTCGCTGGTTAGCTCAGGTGGTTAGAGTGCAGGCTCATAACACCAAGGTTGTCAGTTCAATTCCCACATGGGCCACAGAGCTGCACCCTCCACAACTAGATTGAAGACAACTACTTGACTTGGAGCTGATGGGTCCTGGAAAAACACAGTTCCTCAAAAAAATTTCTTTAAAATAAAATGGGATAATAATATCTACCCCATAGGGTTGTTTCAATGATTAAAATGACATTGTCTAGTACATGGTATTAATACTATAATATTTTATTTTTTTTCCTATTTCTAACCAGTCCTCTTTTATTTCTTCCTTTTTTCCTCATTCAAAAACTATGAGCTGCCCTCAGACCTAGGATCTGGTCACCTATCATATATACTTATTTTTTGGAATTCACTACTCATTAAATCTCAATCACTCTATATGGCTTCCATATTTTAATATCCAGTCTTGATCTGCTGTTCTCTCCTAATCCATCAACAATCAAGGCCTTGAAGACCAGCACTGCCCAGCAAACTTTCTGCAAAGATGGAAATGTTCTGTATTTGTGCTGTCCAATAAGGTAACCACTAGTCACATATGGCTACTGAACACTTGAAATGTAGCTAGTATGACTGAGGAGCTGAATTTTAAGTTTTATTTCATTTTCCCTAATTTAAATTTAAATAGAAGCACCTACCATATTGAACAACATAGGTGTAGGCCCTGGATAAAGCACAAGACTCTAGGCCACTGAAGGTTTTTAAGAGGAAGAGGACACTGGCAGCAGGGCAGATAGGACTTGGGGGTGGATGACAGTAGCCCATGGTAGGCACCAGCCACATGGATGGAATGAATGGGAGTTACATGTTATTAGCAGAATTTGTTGGACTGTGTGACTATTTCAGTGTGATGAGTATAAGTGAGGAGAGTCAACTGAGGTTTGTAGTTTGAGCAACGGCAGGATGCCACCACTGAGGTAGGATTCATTTTAGAATGAAGGTAATGAGTTTGCTTTGGGGATATGTTGAATTTGCGGTGTCTAGGAAATGTCTAGATGTTATGACTACAAAACAGGAAAAATATTAATCTGGAACTGTGGAAGTGGGGATACCAATATTCTTTGGGGTTATAGCATACAGGTAGATGTTAAAGGTGTGGGAATGGAGGAACTCACTCAGGAAAAGTATGTAAAAGAGGATGGAACCCTAATTGTGGTCTGTGTCTGTTTGTATCAGAATTTCAGGTGTTTCTTAAAAAACAGATTCCTCATTGTGAATGTATTTATTACCACAGAATTGTGCACTTAAAAATGGTTAAAATGGCCAATTTTACAATACATATATTTTACAATACGTATATTTTACAATAAAAAATGCAAAAAAAACCCAAACCGAACCAAACAGATCCCTAAGCCCCATTCCTGACCTGAATAACTATGTTTCTAGAGATGAATCTAGGACCCACCAGGTAAATGAAAAGTTGAACCAATTGCTTAAGGGGTAGCGAGAAACTAAGAGATAGGAAGAGAATAATGGGAAGGAGGTATGGTGGAGAAACTAAGGGAGAGTGAGGGGTTCAAAAAGGGGTCAGGGCCGGCCAAGTGGCGTGTTGGTTAAGAGCTGGCTTGGGATGCCAGAGGGCCCCGGTTCGGATCCCACATATGAGGGCCAGTGACACTGCCCTCTCCAGCTAAGATGCTGAACAACAGCTCAACCTGGAGCTGGGCTGCTGTGAGTCACCGGCGACGGCATAGGTTGCAGCCCTGCTGTAGTGGGTTGCCATGGGCTACCGTGTGTAGCCAGCAGCCAGCGTGAGCTGCGGGCAGCAACTGCAGTGAGTGGCTGTCCAGAAGCCGGCGACTGATCTGCCTCGCCCAGAAAGACAGCAATGATGGTGCCAACTTGGGCCAGTGAAGCAACGTCCTCCACAACTAGACTGAAGAACAAAAGGACAGCAACTTGTCTGTCCCCCTTCCCCCAATTCCTAATTTAAAAAAAAATCTAAAAAAAAAGAAGGGGTCAATAGTGTTGACCGGTGCCATTGCTCAGGAGGAAGACTGAAAAGAGGCCACAGATTTGGCATTTAGGTAGTTACTGATGAACAGGAAGTGAGGGAGCAGAAGCTTTGGGGTCTATTCTTTCAAAGGACTTGCTCACATTTAGTGAAGAGATAGAGGGAAATATTGCATAACCTTCAGGAGGTAGGACACAGGAAAAAGTGGTGATTTTGAAGATGAGAGAGAATTGAGCATGTTGGTAGGTGGACAGGAAGGAATCAATGAGGCCAAAGAGACACCAAAGAGATCCTCCATAAAGCACAATTTGGGAGAGGTAGTAGAGATTGGGATCAAGAACTCAGGGAGAGGTTATTTGGGTAAAAGCTCACTGGGAAGTTTAGAAGCGAAAAGGAGGGAAGATGAAGTTCAAGACTGAAGGCAAGACTTCGTGACACAGCAAACAGGAATGGCACTAGTTGGTTGTTAGGTCATCTACTTAGATTAATGGAGCAAGGATAGTCAAGAGCCAGTAGAAGGGTAAAAAGCTGGAAAAGTCACTGAGATAAAAGTGATCAGGAGCAGCAACATAAAAAGATTTAAAAGTAGTACTGGAGTCTTATTGAGATTGAAAAGGCACCAACACAATTAGCCTGCACAAAATAGAAAAATTGGTTTTTCTAAATGAAGGTTTTGGTACCTCTTTCCTGTTGTTTAGGGACAGCAGAGACCTCTGCTCTCTCTTGCATAAAGTTCAAATTCCTTAGTAGGAGCGTTTACCTAACTTCTCCATTAATAGGTCCAATGTCTAACTGGAAGTCTAGACTCTCTTGTTCCCTGCTTCTTCTATAACCTCAATTCAGAAAATAATAGGATCTTAGGGATTTTGAAGCTTATCAATCCAATCTCCCTTCTTAGCTAGGCATGTTTTGTTTTTCTATCTTCTCTTCACCAAACAAATCTTTCTCCATTTTCCACTTTCCTTTGGACTCAACTTATGGGTGTTTTAAAAACCAAAACCTGATAGACATCAGCAACACCTATCCCACAGCATTTATGCTATAGTCATCCAATTGTAGACTACATTTTATGCATGTTTCTCGGCACATACTCCCACCCCATACTAGTATGTGCCCTCCACCTCCATACTGGTGTGCTTTGGCAGAGGATGCTGACCAAAAAAAGTCCTGAATTAACTTATTCACTGGCTTGTTTTCTGTTCTGAGCTTGGGTGAGGTTCATTTTCTTGAGCTGAAACCTCCCTGGATAGAGCGGGTAAAAGCAGTTTCTTACCTCTCCCAGATTGACAGGGCATTCTCAACCACACTTGTCACTTTTTTTTTTTTTTAATTTGGGGAATTGGGGGAGGGGAACAGTGTTGGGGAATCAGGGAAGGGGAACAGACAAGTTGGTGTCCTCTTGTTCTTCAGTCTAGTTGTGGAGGACGGCGCTTCACTGGCCCATGTTGGTATTATCATTGTGCTCTTCCTGGGTGAGGCAGGTGCTTGCTGGCCATTGGACAGCCGCTCACACTGGCTGCCAGCCACTCACGGCAGCCCAGCTACAGGTCGAGCTGTTGTTCATCATCTTAGCTGTAGAGGGCAGTGTCACTGGCTGTCATGTGGGATCCGAACCGGGGCCCTGCTGTTCAGAGCTGGCATCCCAAGCCAACTCTTAACCAAAGCACCACTCGGCCGGTCCTTATTATATATAATTATGTGTATCATATACAATCCCACTTCATTTCATTTGTGCCAGTTGGATTTTGGGTTCATAATTTAAATCTTTTAAATGCCAGCCAATGCATCTTAACTAGTATCTGTAACTGATGTGCTGAGCCTGGTCACGCTGACCTACTCTGGAAAGATATGGTGTTTCTCCAACTAACCCTCTCCTTTAGCCAGGCCAGTGACTCGTCTCTCCAGATTATAGTGAGGTTTTGCTTGGATGCAGGAGGAGAAAGACCAGAAGAAAACTGAAGAAGCCAGATCAGATTCAAGGGGCCAAGGGAACCAATACATTCTAAGGCTAGCTTGGTCTTTATAAATAACCACCAAAAGCAGCCCCGTCCATATCCCAGCAAAAGGATCACTTTCTTTAGCCATCTCAATCCAATAGCTCAGGTCTTTGCTCCATAGGTGCACTCTTTCAGGATCATCCCCAACAATGGGGAACAGATAGAACTGATTCTTTCAATTGCATGTCTTGGACATTTTGCCAAAGCTTCTGCTAGGTTTTGAAGCAGCCTAACTGTTAGGGAGTGAAGGAGAATGAACTTAATTTTCAGTATAAAACCCTTTCAATATCTCTTTCCTGGTCTTTCTGCCCTCTCATCTCACTATCTCCAGAATGTTAATCTGTTCCTTGCTTTCCCTTCTTCTATCAGTGATTCAGGGATTGGATGATCTCTGTGGTTTGTCTTGCCCTGAAGAGCAGAAGGCTTCGGTCCCAGTTGGTATTGCCAAAGCAACATACTAATTCCATGCCATGGTCCTGGGTCAAGATCTTCACAATCTGACTGGCCATATCGCCTCGGATGGCAAGGGAATGGAAGTGGTCAAAATCATGGAGGCCCAGCTTTCGGAGACGTCTTGCAGCTGCCCGGTAACACTTCCACGGCTGTGGCTCCACAAGGAGGTAGCGACAGAGGGAGGAAAGGTGAGCCAGGAACTCCCACAGGCCATGGTCCCCGTGGTTCAGATGAATCCACATGGTTATCGACATGCAGAAGCCAATGTCAAAAACTGAGCGTCCAAACTGGCTTAAGAAGGAGCTCAAGAGAACCTTCCGGCTCCTTTGATTCATGAAGTCCAGGGTAATAAAAGTCAAGGCATCAGGAAAAGGGCATTCTTTTTCAGCTCGCTCCACCAGGGCTGGATCTATGTCGCAGCAGAGGAGACGAAATTCTCTTGAGACATCTGACCAGTTCTCCCCATCACGTAGGGAAAGGAAGTGTTTGTACAGAGCCACACTCAGATCCTAGAGGAATCCAAAAGAGCTTTGTCATTGCAGCTTTCAATCAATGAATGGAAGAGAAACTTATCTCTTATTGAGACTGTCACTTACTCCTGGCTTTAGAGGGAGACTTCTAAACTATAGCCTAGGGAGGTTGCCTCCAACTTTTTCCAGAGCAGGCTCTCGGCGCCCTCCAGGGGTGATAGACTGTAATGCATCATCTGTGTACTTGCCTGACTGGTGGCAGATTGGGTTGCAAGGTTTTAAGTTATAGATGCAGGAAAGAAACTCAGAGTAGTGTTTTCTAGCTTAAGTAATATGCTGGTAAACTTGCTATCTTTTTCTTTTTTAGGTATCTCAGACCCTGGGGAGGAGAAAAGTGTTCCAGGGGCATAACCAGTGTTTCTTACCATGAAGGTGAGGAACAGAGCTAGTACCATCTTATAAAAACCTGCTTCTCAGGCCTATGGGTGGGAAAGTGGATTCCACAAAGTCCTCATCCAGCCTTCACTCTACAGCTTCAGTTTTACTACCGTATTTGCCAGCGTATAAGACGATTTTTTGGCCCTGAAAAACATGCCTCCAAGTGGGGGGTCGTCTTATACGCCAGGCACACTTCAGATAGACTGCCCATAGTGCTTGCCCCGTGCCATAGTGTCCTCCCGATGCCCGCCCACTTCATTCCACATACCGTTCAGGCATCAGCAGCGCTGCTGGGTGTATGCTCAGCTGTTATGCGATTTTGCTGTTATGCGATTTTACCACACTCGCAAAATCGCACACAGCCGACCATATAACAAACTCTGTATTTTGAGTGGAAATGTTAGGGGGTCGTCTTATACGCCGAGTCGTCTTATACGCCGGCAAATACGGTACCTGTCTTATGCTTCACCACTCCCTCTGGGACTTACTCTGCTTCTGCATCTATTACTTCCAAAAAGTCACTGCTGGTCTCCTTCTTCGATGATTTGTGATTCTCACCATCTTAGCTTTTTTTTTTTGACTCTTAAACAAGTCACCATGCCCTTTCTCTAACTTTGATTTCTATAACCATTATAACTAATTCACATTCGTGTTGTTCTATACATTTTTTTTCAAAGCATTTTCCTATTCACTCATTTGCTCTAAGCAACAATTCTGTGAGGAAAATATTTATGTCTTTTTGCACATGAAGAAAGTGTAGATGGAGACCCAGATGTCCTACAATAGTAGCATGAATAAATAAATGTGATATATTCCTTAAGATGGAATACTAAATAGCAGTTAAAAATGAAGAAATTCAGCTCAATGCAGCAACGTGGATGATTCTCACAAATATATAACGCTGAGTAAAAGAGCAAGACATAAAATACATGGCAAGCTTCCATTTATATGAAGTTCAAAAATGGATAAAATGAAACTGTTGTTCAGGAATACAAAAATAGTAAGCTATAAAGAAAAGCAAAGAAACAATAATAATAAAAATCAGGCTAGTTGTTACCTCTGGGTGGAGAGGGGGGTTTATGAACAGGAAAAGGCGTATGGGGGACTTCTGGGGTGCTGTTTTATTCTTGATCTGAACAGTAGTCATAAAGATGTCTGTTTTATAATAATTTGTAAAGTATAGATTTGTTTTATGCAGCTTTCTCTATGCAGGGCACAGTTCACAAATAAAAATTATATTTTAAAAATCTATGGTTTAGAGGCTAGTGACTCACTTGTCCAATGTCACATGATTAGTACACAGCAAGAGTTAGGGTACATTAGGTTCTTTCATTCTTTCTTCTTACTCTTTAATGGGCATACACATCACCTAGGGATCTTGCTAAAATAAAGGCTGACTTAGCAGATGTGGTGTAGGGGCCGAGATTCTGTATTTCTAAAAAGCTTCCAGTCATGCTGATCCTGTAGTTCAAGAACCACACTTTGAGTAGGCAAGTCCTCTACTGAGCTGCGTAATTTTCACCTCAACTCTCTATTTGCTTGTTTGCTGTCTCCGTCATCCTATCTAATCTTGGGTGTGCCCCATGTTTGACCAGTAATTTTTGTCACATCAGTCCCTCCTCCACCACATCTCTTCATCCTCTCCACCCTCAAATCCCCAATCCTAGAGTCCCCTGGAAGCTTAAAAAAAGAAAATACAGACTCAGTACAGAATCAGGATCCCCCAAGATCCTGATCCAGTAGGTCTAGAGTGGGGTCTAAGAATTTTTTAAATTTAAACAAAGCACCCCATAAATCATGGCACATCTATACAATAAAATATTATGAAGCTGCTACAAAAATGTAGTGACATGAATAATCTCCAAATTATTAAATGAAAAGTGCAAAATAGTGTGCTGTTTGTAAAACTAAAAGAGAGGAGATATTTATACAAACATAAATGCTTGTATACACATAGGAGGCATACCTGAGAAATTATAAATTGCAGTTGCTACTGTATAGGGCAGCGGTTCTCAACCTGTGGGTCGTGACCCCTTTGGGGGTCAAATGACCCTTTCACAGGGGTCGCCTAAGACCATCGGAAAACAAAAAGATATTTACATTACGATTCATAACAGTAGCAAAATTACAGTTATAGAGTAGCAACGAAAATAATTTTATGGTTGGGAGTCACCACAACATAAACTGTTTAAGGGGTCGCGGCATCAGGAAGGTTGAGAACCGCTGGTATAGGGGGAAAGGAAGATTTAGGGTCAGGAGTAAAGACTTGCTCCCTAAATGTACAACCAGGTTTGGGAACCACTGCCCTAGTTAAGTACAACTATACCCTTGCCTCTAATGTGTACATATACTACTGTCAATTTTAAAATTCCTGTGGTTTCTGAAGGATTTTCATGAAATCCTAAGCCTTAAGCCCAGCCTCTCTCTTTTCTATTGCTTTCCCGCTCTGATTTCCTATATCATCACAGTGGAGAAATGTTTGCAGGAGACACCTAGACACCCACCCATCTGCTCATTCCAGCTTTGAGTCTGTATCCAAATGTCCCCCTCCCCTTTATCAGCTGTGTCCCTATAGCCTTCAACCCTCCACCAAAGTCTCTTCTGTGGAAGACAGCAACACAACCAAATTCTCCACACGCCCTCCCGCTCCTGGAGGTGGAATGAGAGCATTCATTTTTGAGGCATTTGGTGTCAGAGACATTTCGCTATTTTGCATGTGGTTAGACTATGACCATTATACGCCTAAGAATACTTTGCGGTAAGAAAACGTGGCAATGCCTTCCTCCAGCAGGATGCTGTATTTTCCTCCTCGATCCTGCACACTCTACTCCGTCAACTCATTGCTTTGTAAATATATATCCACTCGACTCCAGGGTCCGTCCTGCACTGGATGGCACACGAATATTAATTCCAGGCACGATTCTGTCACCTCTGACTCATCTCTTCCAGTAAACCAATCCCAACCCCAAGCTCCCAAACGTAGGTCTCCGGGAGCCCCCTCTCCCCAACCAGGTTGCCAGCCACGCTGGACAGGAGGCGAGCGCCGGAAACCCAGTACGGTGGCCCTTCCCACGCGGGGTTTGGCCTTGAGGCAGCGGAGGCGGGGACGCGGGAATTCGGAACATAGCCTTTAAGCTCATTTTGGGAAAGTTGTGTGAGGTCACGCCCAGGCCAGAACCCCAGTGGACATGGAGGCAGCCAACCACTGGGCTCCCCGACCTCCGATCCCTCTTCCCATCACTCACCCCGGAGTTACACCCCACGTCGAGCCCCAGAATCGGCTTCGTCTCGGGACCCTGAGGGAAGAGCCGGCGAAGCAGCTCTGGGGGCAGGAGGCGGAGCCGTTGCTCTGGAGGGTGGAAGCGGGAATACTGAGGGAAATTTCCGAACGGGGCGGCCCCGGGTTCCAGAACTCGCGGTTCCTGTTCCGCCACGGCCTCTTCAGCGCCCCCAACGCTCTGGTCAGTGGACGCCGCCATTAGCCTCAGTCTGGCCTCTGGGTCCCCGCGGAACCGGAAATCGGGAACCTGCGGCCCGCGGCGCCAGCGCGCCTGCGCTCAATGGCGAAGGTGCGTGGGTATAAAAGCGGCAGTCACTGAGCAAGCGCTGACACCTGGCGTTTGCCTTATGTTGTAGCGTCTTCACCACAACCTACGAAGTGGTTAGTAATGTTAATCCCATTTTACAGCTGAGGAAACCAGCGCTGAGAAGTTAAGTGACTTAGCCCAAGCAGAAATATTGATAGTTTCAACTTGTGCTACCCAGAACAAGGAGTTTGTTGGGATCTTGGAAATCAGTTTTGGTCCAACTTCCTTCCTTTGCAAATGTGTAAAGAGAGGTCCAGAGAGTAGAAATTATTTGTCCAGGGTCACACAGTGAAACTGTGACACAGGAATTTGCACCCAGCTCATCCCATGTTTCCAGGAAAGGGTAGCTAGGAGCCATCTGTCCCTTGAGGTGCCAAAAGACTCAGATGGCCCTACCTGCCAGATGGGACAGGTGCACCAGGCAACTGTAGACTGTGAGCTTCTTGAGAGGCAAGGACTATGCCTTAAGAGCCAGCAGTTAAGAGTGCTTAGCAGGTGCCAGACACTTTTCTAAGCCCTTTACATGTATTAGCTCATTATGGGCCTTGTCAGGAAAGGACCATTACTTATTATCCTTTTTATGTATATGAGGACATAGGGGCACAACAAAGCAACTTGTCCAAGGTTGCAGTTAGAAATGATAGTATCAGGATTTGAACCCAGGCACTTTGGCTCCAGAGGGTGTGCTTGCAACCATTATGTTATTCTCAGCCTCGAATCCCTTATGCCTATTGTAATGCCACAGCCAAAGATGCTCAGTAAATAGTGTTGAATGAAAACTTAATATTGTCACCGTAAGAAACGTCCAAACCTGTAAAGAAGTTTAAAGAGTTTATTTGAGCCAAGCTGATGACAATCGCCAGGAAGCAAAATCTCAACGGATTAAGAAAACACTCCAGAAAGTGGCAGTTTTGCAGCTTATTGTATACATTAGACTCAAAGGGGGAGATGTAAGGAGGGCTACATGAAATTCATTGGTGGTAGATTAAGGAGGTGGGAGAAAGCAAAGTGGGGAGCTCTCTGGCATTGGATAAAAAGTAAAATAGAGAGACAGATACTTCTTTTACACTAGTGGGCACAGGATAATTAACAATTAACATTTTACAACACACAGAGATAGTATTTGGGGAATGAGATAACAATGAGGGGTTCTATAGTCTGGTGCTCTGTGTGCAGTGGGTTGTGCCTTGAAAAGTCTGGGGAAAGGGATTACTCTGACATTTCAAGGGTATGTTATCTTAGATGCAAAGAGACAATAGACAGGCTCACTTAAGGTAAAGATTGACCTTTGTCAAGGAAGCTACGGGCCAAGGATGTGTCTAGCAGGCATGACCCGCTTTTAGTTAAGAATTTTTATGTTCAGACCATTCTATGTGGTTCATTTTGGTTTCAGAGTTTGTAGATCCTACCTTGCGAGCCTACCCTGAGCTTGTCAGGTTTAGTATGTGGCCTCTTTTTCATCTACAATATCAAAAAGGCTCGTGGGAAATTTGGCTATTCATATTCAAAGGAATGAAAGTAGACCCTTATCTTACACAAAAATCAACTCAGAATGAATTAAAGACTTAAACATAAGATCTGAAACTGTATGACTCCTAGAAAAAAAATAAGGGAAAGGCTTCATTGATCTTCTCAATGATTTCATGGATATGAAAACAAAAACGCAGACAATAAAAGCAAAAATAAACAAGTGGGACTACATCAAGCTAAAAAGCTTATGCACAGCAAAGGAAACTATTGAGAGAGTAAAAAAGGCAACCTACAGAGTAAAAGAAAATATTTGCAAACCATATAGCTGATAAGGGATTAATTTCCAAAATATACAAGGAATTACTCCAACGCAATAGCAAATAAACTAATAACCTAATTTTAATGGTGAAAGGACTTGAACAGACATTTCTTCAAAGGAAAACATACAAATGGCAACAGTATATGAAATGATGCTTAATGTCACTAATCATCAGGGAAATACAAATCAAAACCACAATGAAATATCACCTCACACCTGTTAGGAATATATATATATATATATATATATATATATATATATATATATATATATTAACAAGTGTTGGCAAGGATGTGGAGAAATTGGAACCCTTGTACACTATTGGTAGGAATGTAAAATGGTGCAGCCCCTACGGAAAACAGTGTGGCAATTTCTCTAAAAAATTAAAATAGAACTACCATATGATCTAGCAATCCCATTTCTGGGTCTTTATCCAAAAGAATTAAAATCAGGATCTCAAAGAGATATTAGCACTCCCATGTTCATTGAAACATTATCACAATAGCCAATATGTAGAAACAACTTAGATGTCCATTGACAGATGAATAGATTTTTTAAATGTGGTATATACATACAATGGAATATTGTTCAAGGAAATCCATCCATATGTAAAACATGGATGAAGCTTGAGGATTTTATGCTAAGTTAAATAAGCCAATCATGGAAGAACAAATATTGCTCAATTCTACTTATGTAAGTCACACTTGAATATTACTTTTTTCTTACACTTTTGCCTGTATATACTCTTTGATTGCTTCTTCATATGGCAATGATTTGATACTACTTTATAGAGAGGACTACAAAGATAACTCAGTATTTTCTTAGCATGGCAAATCAAATTGTCTTTTATTATTTGATCATTTAGGAACGTTTCAGGTTCACAATTTATTACTGGCAATGTAATGTAAATATTTAAGTTTGCTATCAAATTGGGAAAAATCTTGATCATATTACTTTCATCTATGAGATATAAGATTCCAGAGCTTTCAAATTTTCCTGTACAGGGACTAATCTTAGATGTAGTATTTGAATTAACTACATTTACTAGCTGATTTGTTCTTGAAAACCTCATTATAAATGGTGTATTATGAGTTTTTTATTATCTGTGTTGATACCAGTAATTTGTGTCAAGTCATCAAAAAATATAAAAAGATTGGAATTTTGATAAATTGTGTTTTGAATAGTTTCCATCAAAAAAGAAAAGAATGCATGGTACATTTATAATGATATATACTGTGTTATTGAGTATATTGCCAACAGGACAAAACTTCTTTTGATTGGATGTCAATAAGGACAGAATTGTCTGTTTATATTTTGCACAGCTGATGACTGAGGAATTTTCTTCAGACAGCTTTTGACTTCATACATTTTCAAAACTTGATTCTCCTCCACTCCCACACACTTCGGGCATTAGGTGCTGTAGGAAATGTTTAAATCTTTTTCTTAATTTTTACTTTTTAAGGAATTAACAGTCAATTTTATTGGGATCAGACTAGGAGTCCATGGGTCTTGAGAACCTCTGTGTATCTGTCAATTTTCTTGTCCACGATCTCTTCTGCCTCCGTAGCCTCATGAGATGTTTTTTCTTCCGGTAATGGATATTGGCTTTTTCCTTCCTCTTTTCCTCCTGAGTGGCTGTAACTGCCTGGTACTTCCAGCCAACCTCATGAGCCAGGCACCCCTACACGGTAGATAGACTTTCATGCAGGCTTCAAAAGGACACACTTGGGGTCAGCAAGAACCACCATTTGATAGGGTGGCAGCATCCTTTCAAACACCTTGAGGCTGGCCAGGGCAACCTGTCCTAGCTTGATCTTGTCGGGCAGCATACCTCGCACAGTCCGCAAAAACATACGCCTGGGGGCCTGGAAGTGGTAGCGGCTGCGGCATGGGTTGGTGCTCATCCACTTGAGGAGGAAGACCAGGTACTTCAACTTGTTTCTGTAGAAATTGCCAGATATGTTGATGCCCTCACAGCGCATGGCTACCACCTTCTGGCCCAGCAGTACCTGCTTGGCAACGATGGCCGCCAGGCGGTCCAGGAGATGGCCTCAGCCGCCGAGCACCAGGACCTGCCTCTCCGCCATCCTCAGCAGCCGCCTAGGGTAAAAAAGCAGGAAACATTTAGATCTTGATTTGAACTCAGACGTTGCCCCTACAGGTCACTATTCCAGGTGAGTCAGCAAGGTAGGCAGAGATCCTGTAGCTCTCCTATCCTTTATCTTGGTAGTGGGTTGTAGCTCAACTATGCATGGACGTAACTGTGAACCATGTGGATAGATCCTAAACAGAGTGTACCCCCAAATAAACTTCCCATTAGCTGGATTCTAAATATGCCCATGGCCCTTATAGTGCCATCTAACACAAGGGAAAATGTGAAGGGGGAGAAGTTGAAGTGAAAATAGACAGCAGTCTTAACCAACTACAGTTAAAATATCTTACTTTTTCAAGTTTTACAAAACTAATAACCTGTGAACACGTTTCTAAGGCCTTGGAAGGGTTCTGTGTGTAGTGAGGACCGTGAAGCTTGAGCCTCATTAGCTTCATGGTTAAATCCATCTCTTCTCTGCACAGAACGTGTACCCAAGCACAGTTAAAATGAAGAAGTGTATATAGACTTGGAAATATCCAAGGTAGGAATGATTCACAGTCTAATGGCTCCTATGGCCTCCCCAGGAACCTCGTACAGCTGACAACCTGGCCCATGCTCCAGACCATCCTATCTTCCTCCCATCCCGTCCCTCTCTAACCACTCCCCAGAGCCTCTGCTCAGTCCCTGATCTCCCACCTCGCTCACTGCCTCTAGTTGGGGTTCAGGGGAATCTGAACTGAGGAGTAAGCAGGAATCTGTGTGTATTTTTGAATATTGAAGCTCTTTTCTTACATAAACAATGTTCCAACAAGGAACTTGTATCTGGACTTTTGGAACACAACCCATCTACAAATGGAGAATTTACTCTTTATTAAAATAGAGAAATTCTGCAATTAGTCCTTGTAGAGTTTTAAACCACTTGGAAATAATAATCATACAATTTATAAGTGGATCGTTATAGCCAAAAGGCCACCATTCTAAACCCCTCATTTTCAGATGAGGAAACTGAGATTCAGGAGGTAAAGGCAGTTTC